GGGGATTGAACCGCGGTCCCTGATGCCTTGCCAAGCTTGTTCTAAGTAGGTGCTTTAGACCACTGAGCCATCTCTCCAGCCCCAACCTGACTATTTTTATACCTTCAGTCCAGCTCTATAGTGCGCTCTCTCTCTCTCTCTCTCTCCCCTTCCCTCCCTCCCTTCCTCCCTCCCTTTCTCCCTCTCTTGCTCTTGCCCTTTCGCCTATTATATACACCAAGCACACTCCGTTCTGGGTCCCAAGGACCCTAGCCCTCTGGTACCTGACACATCGTCTACAAGCACAGAAACACTGTAGGGCCAGACCACCGCTGCGGGACCTTGGCAAGTCAGTTAACCCTATGGTGCTTCTCTCTTTCACCCTTGCCATTTGGAAGCTCTAAGATAAAAAGTGCAGTTGTCACCCAAGGACAACCATTGCACTGATGCTGCCCTCAGCTTCCTGCATTGCCCTCATTCCCAATTCTTTATCTGTGTTATCAATTCTAACACTGGCCTTTTGTAAACTTGGTCCCATCTTTCTGTAGCCAAACAATATAAACTAGTCAGAACCTGTCTGGACGCTATTTTTCCCATCTACATGAAGGACATCAGTGAAACTGCTGGGAGTTGGTGACCATCAAATGCCTCACTGGATACAGAGTAGTGTGTGTGCTTGCTCACATCGGTTCCTTCTCCCTTCAAGAGCCAGGGTCAAAAAAAAAAAAAAAAAAAAAAAAGAGCCAGGGTCACAGCAGCCTCAGATCCTGGTTCCAGCCCCTGCTCACGTGCTGTTGCTCACCACTGGGAGGTGAAGACTGCAAAGACGCGGGGACCGGTGGACGGCCCGGCGGGCAGCAGCACCGCGTGGCGGATGATGTTGAAGGGCAGCTGGCCAGGCTGGGCGCAGAGCAGCTGGGCCTTGAGGAAAGTGGTCCACTTCCTTTGCAGCAGCTTCTCTCCGCCCACGTCGTTCTAGGGCGCAGGAGGCGTCGGAAGGTGCCCAGTGGGCGTGGCCCCGCCCCTACCATCTCCCATTGGGTTTGCAGCGTTTGACCCCACCCCTGCCGCCTGACCATTGGCTCTCGAGAGGCCAACCACGCCTCCCGTCGAGCTGCAGACCTTGCAGACTTGTGCCACGCGGGAGGTGTGGAGCTTCTCGAAGAAGTCGAACTCGCTGGCTGTCTCCTCAAAAAAGAAATAAACGACCTGGGTCCATGGGATGGCGGCTACGAAGGAGGCATCCGCTGCGGGGCAAGGCAGAAGGTTAGGGACCTGAATGCCCTGAATAACCCCGTGAAAACCCTTGGATGGCTCTGGAGCCCTAGAGCCTTGGCTATGTGGGATGTCACAGCTGGTGGAGAGTAATGATAGGGACTCTGGAAGGCACGTGCACATGCGCGTTAGTCCCCAGTCCCGGGCCATCATTCACAGGGCCAGGTGTCCAGGACTGTGGAAGGGCTCAGTCTCAGGCGGCTGGGGGCCAGGTCCTTACAGTGCAGCCAGTGGAGGAAAGTGTCCGTCTTGAGGACAGGCCGGGAGCCCAGTGTGCGCATCAGGATGGGCTCGCTGCCCAGAAAGTTGTTCATGGTGCCTGAGTACAGCATCCCATCTAGGGAGGAGGAGAGGATCCAAGGCAGCTTAGCAGATGGAGGCAGCCCAGCCCTCCCAGATCTGCCTCTGACCGGAGCCAGCGTCCGCGTCAGTCTCTGGCTCCTTTATTCCTCTGTACCTTCCTGCAGCGTTCCCCTACCCTGACCACACATATTGGATACACTTCTTAAGTCCTTCTGTCCACAGGAAATGACCAAGGTGGCCTTCTGTGTTGGGCACTTTCCAGGCTTTCTCTGGCTACTCTTTTCACAAACGTGGCTGAACCATTTGCCAAGCATGATTACTCATTAATTCCAGAAAGTAACTTTTCTAGTTAGTACTCCTTGGGTCCTACCCTTCTTTCCCTGGAATACCTTCTTGATCTCTAGTTTTCTTTTGAATCTTACTCAAAAGCCAAAAACTGCCCAGAAAATAAATAAATAAATAAATAAATAAATAAATAAATAAATACAAAAAACTGCCTGGTGATGCGTGCCTATAGTCCCATCATTCCAGCAGCTGAGGCAGAAGAATTGGTTGCCTTGAGTTCTGGGCCAGTCTGGGCTACATGATTCAGGCCAGCCTGAACTGAACTACACTGGGAGACCCTATCTCAAAAAATTAACAGACAAACCAAAGACTGTCTCCTCCAGGAAGCCAGCGTGGGAAGTCTGTAATGGTTTGTATCCAGGAGAACACAGGGCCATGATTTCTTCTCTGTAACACAGGGCCATGATTTCTTCTCTGTAACCCCTTAAGTACCCAGCCCTATACCTGTCACACCCCACAGACCACAGTGGTTGGACAAGCAGTGGAACCTCAGGCTTCTTTTCTGCTCGATGCCTTTCTGGAACCCTCATGCCTCTGTCTTTCCACATTTCTCCTTCCACCTCTGATGTGGTCCTTTCACAGGAAGTAGTGGTTGGGATATCTTGTGCTCCCTCTGGTCTGTGCTCAACTCCTCTCCCCCAGGAAACTCCATCCTAGCGTGTATTTCACAGGGTGACTGGAGAAGGCAGATGCTGGCTGGACCAGGAAGCCTGATACTCACCCACCAGGACAGCAGTGTGATTGTGAGCAGGGTCAAAAGGGCTCTGACCTTTCCCTTCCATCACTTTTTCCTCTACGATGGGCAACAGGTAGGAATTGTGGAGTTCCTAGAGGGGGAAAAGAGAATGGCTGCCCAGAACACCAGAGTCTTGCATCTGGGAAGTGAGGGGCAAGAAGGAAGAAGGGAAAGGGACAAGGAGGGGACATTGGCCTGGGGCCCCAGAGTTCATGAGGGTTCTGAGGGTCCAGTTTTCAAGAGCCACAGAGGATCAGCTGGGAGGGGTATGAGAAGGGTCACTTAGAACCTGTGAGCTGGGTGTCAGACAACTCACAATGAAAGTGCAGGCAGGACTGAAGGCGAATGTGCCACAGGCATAGAGATGGGTGGCGTTGAAAGAGACCAAGACCCGGATGAAGTTGAAGCACTGCGTCTGGGGGAGACAAAACTTAGGCATTCAGGCTGCCCCCTCACTTCCAAGTGGAAAGAAGAGCTGGGCAGTGCTAGGGCTGCCCCATGCAACTCTACTGAATGCTACCCAGCAGTAACCACGTATACATGACCCTGCTGCTCTACTGGCTGTCCCACTCAAGGCCACCTCAGGATGGTCTCAGGGTACCAGGTTCCTGCCCAGAGTCCTTGTGCCACCTCCCCTTACCTCATTGCTCTTCTTCTTTAAGGCACATTCATGCTTTTTTCTCTCACTGGCTGGCCAGGGTATCTGAAGTGAGGATTAGAAGGATAGAGATGAAAGGAAAGGAGGTCTCCCGCCCTTCTGTGACCTGCTGTCCCCTCCTCAGTTCAGCAGCAGGCACAGTAGGGACATGTTTATGAGCAGTAAGATCAATTTGTGACTGGGTTATTACACTGGTAATACTAATATTCGTTAGGACACAGGTCCGTGATAGACACACAGCCTACGGAATCAGAAGTGAGTTCACATCTAGGCTCTGCCACTGACTGATTCAGCCATTTTGGTGAGTTAGTTTCATAGGCTGCTGGTGGGCACAACCTGGGGCATATACAAGCCTGGACACTTGGTTTTCACAGCTGCAGTGACCAACCACACATTTCCTGGAGAAAATGTCAGGTTTTTTGTCACACCTTAAAGAGTCTACTTTTTTTTTTTTTTTTAGAACAGAGTTTTGCTGTGTAGTTCAGACTGACTTTAAGTTCACTATGTATCCCAGACTGGCCTCAAACTTACAGCCATAGGGCCAGGAATATAGCTCAGCTGCACAAGCACGTGCCTGCTTAGCAAGCACAAGGTCCCAAGTTCAATTCTGAGTACTAAATAAACAAATGAATAAATAAGGGCCGGGGATATAGCTCAGGGACACAGCACCTGCCTGGCAAGCATGGAGTCATGAGTTTGCTTCCCTGTATCAAAAAACAAGAACCGAAAAAAACCTTACAATGATCCTCTTCTGCCTCAGCCTCCTGAGTCCTGGGATTACAGGTATGCACCACCACACCCAGAAAAGTCTACCTTTTAACCAGTATCCCATATACACAGGTGACCAAGAGGCTCCATATTGAAAATAAACCATGGAATCGATTGGTAATTACTATTTGCTCTCTCCCTTCCTCTCCTCCCATCACTTACTCCTATTTGGGCAGTGACAATGGTGACAGTCACTGGTTTCTACCAGTGGGTGAATAGCAAATTATTGATATAATTTGAGTCAATGTTTCCTCATGTATCAATGATTTCCATATCACCCACTTTTTTTTGGGGGGGGGGCAAAACTGGGGATTGAACTCAGGCCCTTGCGCTTGCCAGGCAACATATCACCCACTTAGCAGTTGAGATTATTCTACCGGTAACACCAAGGAGTAGCGACACCACAATCACATTTCTTATGCCAGACAAGACATATAGAGCAAGAACTGCTGATTGTTGCTGATGGTAGCTAACGGCAGTTGGGCTGTTCCTGCAAAGGTGGCCATGGCGCAGGGGAGCAGCCAGCCCTTCCCTGCTCCCAGCTCACACCCTGTGCCCCTGGCCTCCTCACCAAGTTCTTCAGCCTTGGGACTCCTGGGTCCTGGATGTCCAAGGCCAGAATGGCCTCTCGAGCTCCCACATACAGAGTGTTCCCATCATCACTCAGGAGCAGGGTGTCAAAATCTCGGAGGCCCTTATGCTGGAAGAAGCCAAGGACCCTGCGTGGGTCCCCTGTTGGGAAGTAGGGGGAAGGAGTGGTGAGGAGCAGCTGGTCCCTGAGACAAAGACTGGGAAGGGAAGGGCTTGCAGAGCTGCTTCCCAGGCCTTACCAGCAGCCCCTCGCACCCCGCCCTCCCGGCAGTCACAAGAGCTCTGTGTGTTGAACCATAGCAGAGAGGAGAGGCAGCTAGAGACAGCGTAATGTTGGGGGCAGGGGTTGCGGGGCCCACAATGGATGCTATTTGAGGCCTGGGGGTTGGGGAGCGTTGGTCCTCACTGGGAGGAGAAGCAGCAGGCAGGTAGACCTATAGGAAGGTGTTCACAGATAGATGCAGGATTGTGTGGCAGAGCTGTTAGGGGTTTTCAGGGTTCCTGTTTGCCACCTCTGCCACCAACCCTGCTTCCTTCCCCATCTCTATTACAGGAAATTTTCTCCATTAGAAACATTATTATAGAAAGAAAGTGTTTTCACCCTCTCTGAGGTCTATGTGGTATGCTTGAGTATCACTGGGCAGGAGAAGTGAGTGGATGGATGGAGGAGGCTCCTGTAGGTCCTGTCCCTCATCTAGGTGTGATGTGAAGGAGGCTGTGTGCACACAAGCGTGTGTTCCCATCCTGCCCCACTGGTACCTCAACAGAGAGAACGAATAGCTTCAGACCCTCTCATTAGCACTCACACTTTGGTGGCAGGTAGAGGACTGACTAGCTGACTGTCCCTTTTGTAGGCTTAGGGAATCTTAATCCAGGAATACAGTAGAGAAGGCCTGAAAAGGTCTTCCCTGGAAAGGTGTCTTCAGGGAGTGGTGTGATGGAGCCCTCAGAATGTACACAGCCCTCAGTTACTGAACTAGCTACCCCAGCCTGGGCTTGTGCTATGGATCACTGTGCTCCCCTCTTGAGGCTGTGAGCTTCCTGAAGGCAGGCCTAGGTCTGGCCCATGTTTGTGCCCCCACCTCCAGCACAGAAGAGGGCTCTCCATCAATGGGCAACTGCCTATCCTATGCCAGCTTGCTCCAGAAAGATGCTAAAGACCCAAGTGTGCCCAGGAGACCCACACCTATCACTCCTACAGGGCCCACATCCCTCTTCCAAAGCCTTCTCCATAGAGATGAGAGGGCCACAGCCTTCTCTAGCCGCAGTAAGAGACCAGCAGGCTGCACTACAGGGCTCCAAGGCCTACATGCCAGCTGGGCCATCCCAAGAGCTCATCCTGCTGGCTGTGGCATGTCCAGTGTGATCTGTGGTTGGCACTGGCCTGGCATGCTCTGGGCCACCTCATCTGCAAATGATCTAGTGTGGGGCTTGATGGGGGACACCTAGGACATGAAAGCAGTTGGGGTTTAAGATGCCCCACATGGTGACAGTGACAATTGAGAGAAAAATCTCCAACTGTGGACCTACCCTGGGCCCCTTGGACCCTTTCACCTTCCCTTCTATAGATTTCTATTTCTGACTTTCTCCACTACCGCGTTGCTCCCTGGCGTCTCTCTGGGCATCTATTTCTCCGTGTCTGTCTCCCCTTCCCTCTGCGCCCCCTCCCCCTCAGGACCCCCTCCAGCTCTGCTTCGTCATCCCCACCCCTCCTGGCCATCACACACTTACCTGCATCATATCTGACCCTGGGCATGGGCCCCTGCCCACCACTCCCAACAGCCAGTGGTGGCGGCAGCAGCAAGAGCAGTTGGAAGAAGAAAAATCCCAGAAGGCTCCAGGGGTCCAGGCCCAGGGCTGGGAGGGCCATGCTCAGCCAGAGGCTGTCACCAGATGGCTCTGAGGAAACAGGCATCCGGGTACTTTCTGGGTGAGTTGTCCTTACCACATCCCCCCTGGGGACCAATTGGAGAGCCCCAGAGAGCAGAAATGCAGAAGTGTGTGTGTGTGTGTGTGTGTGTGTGTGTGTGTGTGTGTGTGGTAAGAGGGGAGGGGAGAGGCCTCAGAAAGTCTCACTTCCACCCCACTCACTGACCTCAGCCTATTGCCTCAGTTTCCATCCTCAGAAGGGGCCTGGTGCGCCCCCATCTTGCCCTCTGGTCTCTTCTCAGCAACACCTCTGCTAAGCCATTTCTCCTCCTCTTAGTGTCGGGGAAGTCCTTTAGGCCTTTCTTCTTCAGCTTTTCCTTCTTCCCAAAACCCAGAGACTAAACCTTTGCCTGGCCCTGAGCAGGAGGCTGTCAGGTGAGCAAGATCCTGTACTCACAGTAGAAAATCTGGGGGCTGTCCTCTCCTGTCCTTTCAGGTCTGTTGACACCTTGCCTCATACCCACTCCTGACCCAGGCAGGCACCCCAGGTGTGAGTGAGCCTGCTCCAACCTCTCCCAGCCCCAGGGGTCTCGGGGTTTTTGACCCTAACTGGGTCTCTTCTTCCAGGAAGGCCATGCAAGCCTTCCTACCAGTTGGCTCCCAGCACTTTCCAGGAGTAGCCTGGGCAGGGGGTAGCTGACGCCCAGCCTCTGCAGGCTCCCGTCTCAGTGCTCTGTGCCTGCCTCCTTGTGTTCTGTGTCTCTCCTCCCAAGGCCGCCAGCCACAAACAACCCGTCTCACCTCACATACCCTTGAGCCAGTTGCGCTGAGAAACCCCAGTGTCCAGACTCTGGGGCAGGAGCGTCATTCAAGAGAAAAAAGGACAGGGTTTCTGGGCCCCAGAGGTAGGGGACAAAGGCTCAGCCCGGCTGGAAAGGGAGCGCGGCCCTCCAGGCACCCATCATGCCAAAGCCAGCAAGCACCAAGAGCTCTGTGCCAGGGAAACCAGAATTTCCACCTCGAGTTGTGACAGATCCTGGCTTGGGCGGAAGTTGTGGATTGGGAGGAAAAAAAAGGCTGACCTGCCTGGCAAGAGACACACCTCCCTCCCTCCCTCCCTCCCTCCCTCCCTCCCTCCCTCCCTCCCTCCCTCCCTCCCTCCCTCCCTCCCTCCCTCCCTCCCTCCCTCCCTCCCTCCCTCCTCTTGCTTCATTCAGTCTGTGCAGAGTTTAAAAGGTCTTTCTAGGCCATTTCATCCACCCCCTGCCTCTCTGGCTGCCTCCAGTCTATCCAGCCTATCTATGATTTCCTCTTGCTTGAGATTTCCCAGATAGGGGACTTAACGTCACCTCTTGTATTTCTCTTTTCACTTGTTTAGGGTCTCTGACTACTCCTACCTCCTGGGAAGTCCCTACAGTATTTTAACCTTCAACCTCCCACTTTTAGCTGGGCCAGAATCTTTAAAAGATGAAAAGAACCATATTAGGCTGTTTGCCATGACTTATCTGAGGAAGTCCCCCCCATAGTGTCACCCTGTCATCATCAGGGTGCCATCAGGCAAGTGGGAAGCCCAGGAGAGTTCCCTTCTGAGTACAGGCTTCTGAGGCACCCAGCCCCGTGATGGTTGCTAGTGCCTCCCCAGGGGGAGCCTCCAAGGGGCAGCCTCGTAATGCGGGGTTAATAGGCTGCAGGCCTGTGAAGTGGGTAGGCTCCTGCCCACTCAGCCAGGTCAGGTGACAGCCGTTCAAAAAGCACACATCCTAGGGCCAAAGCCAATGCCAACAAACAACCCCTCTGCATCTCAGACTCACATTGCTCACCACAAATAAGAAAGTCCCTTCTGGAGTGTCACTTCCATCCCTTCTGCGACAGCACCAGTAAATGAGGGATGCTCCTTCGAGAACTCTTTGGCCAAGCCCAGTCCTTAACCTTCTGTCTTCCCCTCGGTTCCCAACAGCTCTCAGCTCCCCAGGGATACTCTGAGACAGACCCCTCTTGACAACTGTTAAGACTTGTGCAAGACCCTCCAAACTCTCCTCACAGCTGATAGTCAGGTCCAGGGGGGCTGGGGAGATGGCTCAGTGGAATAAGTTTCCCTGGCAAACACAAGGGCCTGAGTTCAATCCCCGGTTCCGCCAAAAAAAAAAAAAAAAAAAAAGAAGTGATAGTCAGGTCCCTGCCAGACTCAGAATCAATTTCCATGACCGCACTTACAGTGGCTTCCTGACCCCCAGCTCAGATTTGGGAAACCACCTTGCCCAAGGCCCTTCTGCTGGAACCCACTGGCTTATTTAGGCCCCAGCAAGGACTCTGAGGGGGCAGTAAGAGGGGAGTTCCAGCATCTGAAATTAGTTTGGAATCCCCTTGGGTGGCAAAGACTTGCAGTGGGTGGGAGGGCAGCGAACTAAGCTAAGAAACAAACTCTCTGGAGGCAACTTGGCAGAAACAGAGATCTCTCTGAAGAGAACCCATCAGCTAGCATTTTCTTCCCTGACAAGGCCTCCCTTGGTCATGTTGAGGAGAGGCAGATAGGAGGAAAGGGACTGTGCCCCCAGGCAGTGTGCCCCTGCCCCCGGGCCTCTGAGTCTGCTTGCAGGTCTCAGAAGCAGCAGCTGTGGAGCCCACTGCCAGGGCTGGCTTGGCAGGTGACGCCCTGCACCGCCACCAGGGTCCTGTCCTTGAAGGACCGGTGCTGCAGGTGATGCTGCTCTTGCCACTTCCAAAGTCTTAGTAATTTTTAAACCAGGGCCCCACATTTTGTTTCTCATGCACCCCACAAATTATGTACCAGGTCCTGCCCACCCAAGAAGCTCGGAGCTGGCAGGGACCCACCCCTCCTCCATTGTACAGTGGGGAAATCAAGGCTGGAGAGAAGAACAACCCAGGCTGGAATGGAGTCAGGCAGCAGGCCAGCAGGGTGGCCGTGGGGCCAGACACCCAAGCACCAGGAACAGGGGCCATGATGCCATCTACCTCACTCCAGTCGGGGGCCCCCCAGCTGGTCTCTTCTCAAGCCCTGGAGCCCAGACTGCTACAGCACCACTGAGTTCAGCCTCTACCTGCTGGGGTCTTGCTCTCCCCTAGGCTCCTCCGCTGCATGGAACAGCAGCCTTTCCTGCCAGGCTGGCTGTGGGGGTGGAGGTGGGAGGAGAGATGGAGTCAGGGCTTCCCACCTCACCCTGATACCTCAGAACCTCCACCACCCTGGGGGCTCCACCACCACCTCAGGGTCTCTGCAGAGCACAGGCACCTCAGTGAGGGAAGGGCTCCTGGGGCCAAGACATGCCACTCCTGGCTTCGCCAGTGGCAGGCAGGTCCAGTTCCCGCCTCCTCCTCCTCCTCCTCCTCCTCCTCCTCCTCCTCTGCCTCCGCCTCCGCCTCCTCCTCCTCCACCTCCGCCTCCCAGCATGAGAGCAGCCCTCAGAAAAGCAGAGTCCTGGGTAATATCTGTTTCTTGGCTCCCCTTCCTCAGCCCCTCTTTCTAATCACAAAAGAGAGTGAAAGCAACTTCTACGTGTGTGGTGTGTCTGCTGTGTACAGGCGCCAGGGGTATCCCCGGCATCCCCCACCTCGTCTCCCACCATCCCATCTCTCCTGGCCCTTCCCCAGTGCCTCCCAGGTCCACTCCTCCAGACTGCCCAGGGCTGCGGCTGTGCTGAGGAGCGCACAATGCCCGACCCCTTGGTCTGCCCCCTCCGAGGGGCAGAGCAGCGGCAGACAATGGCCCGCCCCTCCCTTCAGAGCCATCAGTCAGCTCTCCCAGTCCCTTACCTGGAGCGCGGATGCTGCTGTTTCCCCCCTGGAATGTTAGGCGTTCCGGTTTCCCAGTGCCTTGTCCCTGCCACACCCCCACCCCCATCCCCAACCCCATCCCACCTCACTGGTCCTTAGTCACCATGGCAACCGCATCTCTAAGTGGGAGGGACCAGAATCTCCCCATATTCTTTCTCCTCTTCCTGTGCCCCACTGTGTCCCACCTTCTGTGGCTCTTGGAGCCACATGTGTGGGATCTGGGGGCTCCAGATGTGGGCATAGGGGAGGAGAGGCTATGCTAGCTAGCCCCCTTCCCACCTGCAGACATGCACCACTGGGTAGATATTCCTCAGCTGGCTTTAGGGGATCAAGAGGGCCAATTCCTCTTCATAACCACTTCTCTGAGAACTGTGTATCTGTGAGGGACACATCTGGATGCCAGCCTGGCCCCATGCAAACGAGGTTCACCATGAGGATGCAAATGAACACATGAATATCTATGCAAATAACCCTTGGGACAAAGTCTCTGTCCACAAGCCGAGCAACCGATTCTATTAATATTATCCTGACTTCCGAAGGAGGGGGCATCCACCATCAGGTCAGCTTCTACCTTTCCTTCCTCAGCCACCCCAGGCCAACTTTTAGGAGGGAAAGGTTGATGTGTAACAAGAGGAGGAGTGGAGGGCAGACTTCAGAACAGAACTTTGCAAAGGTCTAGGGGATAGAAAAAGACAAGCCTGAGCTAAATGAGAGACAGGCAGAAGTTTGGGTAAAAGCTTCAGGAGCTGGGTGTTGTATCCCTCTCAGTTTGATCCTAAGTAACTCTATTACCAGAGCTCTGTTCTATCCCCACAAAGCCTCAGCTTCTTCAGTTAAATGAGGAGTTGAAAAGCAAGCCCCTTCCAGCATGGCTGTCAGCATGCAGGAGAACTGAACAGGCCCCAGGGGAGCTAGGCACGGTGGCACTTGCCTGGAATCCCAATACTTGAGAGGCTAAAGTACAAAGATCACAAGTTGGAGGCCAGTCTGGGGAATAGAGCAAGACCCTGTCTTAAAATAAAATGTTAAGGGCTGGGGAGATGGCTCAGTGGAATAAATGCTTCCCTGGCAAGCGCAAGGGCCTGAGTTCAATCCCTGGTTCTGCCAAAAATAAATAAATAAATAAATAAATAAATAAATAAATAAATAAAATGCTAAAAGGGCTGGGGATGTAGCTCAGCGGTAGAATATCCCAGGTTCAATTACCAGCTACCATTAGAAAAGACGAGAAGCACACGCCTGTAAACCCAGCACTTGGGAGGGTGAGGCTGGAGGATCTCCTTGAGTTCAGAGCAAGACTGGGCTACATCGTGAGACCCTATCTCAAAGAAAAAGAAAAAAAGAAAGAAAGAAAAAAAGAAAGGAAATAAGAGAAGAGGGGGGAAAAAAGATAAGAAAAGAAAAAAGCACCATGGGTCTGAGGAGCAAGAATCTTGGGTCCCAGGCCTGGCTGGCGGCCTTTAACTTGCTGTGTGATCCCAGACATAGTACTTGCCCTCTCTGATACACAT